TATTCCTCTACAGATCGTGACACGAAAGTCGCAAGGTAGTTTTATTTTCCGAGCTACCTACAGCAGAAGCAGTTGTCCTGATTAACAACGTTCCGTCGATCGGTATCGATGCTCGTTCACGGAACACCTCGTTAAAAAGGAAACACTGAAACATTAAGATTCAATGCAGCTGCCATAAAAATATTAATTCAAGGAGATGTGGTTTTGAAATTTTTTATATTTAACCCTGAAGTGGATTGTTATTGTGCAACTTCAAATACATACATTGTGTATATTGAAATATTAGAAGGCAAAAGAAAAGGCCAAAATTAATAAAACAATATTGAGAAATAATATTTGCAGTAGAATATTATAGAATAATATATTATATTATTTTATATTACTTGTGAACTGCATTTAAGTTTATATTGTCAATTTATATGATAATTTTATCGTATTGTATCATTGTTTCATTCTATAACATGGTTATTGATTAAGGAATAAATAGAAAATCCACCTGAGGGTTAATTTATATATAGAATACGAGTAACATTTTGCACAAATGAATTTCGAGATTCTGTTGTATATTCTATGTTGGCAAACAACATCCAGAAAACATTCACTCTTGAATACGTTAAACGTTATAAAATTAATGTTGTAATTATTCATCACCTCCCACAACAAACATCAATATAAATGAAATTAATAAATTTTAAATCATTGTATATCATACAGAAAGACGTGACAAAATTGACAACAGTATCTCAACGAGCGAGATGCCTAAATAACAGTTCCAAAAAGATGCAGAAATTGGCAAGTAGCAAGTCTTCGAACATGGAGATCCACGTTACTTACTTCTCTATTCTTTGGTCCATAGAGATGGAATTTTACTAGCAATGCCTGATCTCCATTCCACGTGGGAGTTTGTGCCCTTGGACGTGGCTCATGCGTAGCTGCCTCGTGGCCATTCCACCGCCGCAGTGGCTGCTCCAATCGGTGGTCGATACTTGGGTCCGATAAAATTTCGAGGAAGTCTTGTTGAAGATTGGCAGCAGCTCGTTGGCTTCGTTCGATAGAGCCTGTGCCGATCGAAAACCATCGATTCAATGGAACAACGGCAATGTTACACCACGTTATGAAATTACAATACGGTACGGCTCTCACCTTCAGGTATATTATGGCATCGGTGCCATAGCCATCGCAACTCTGCAGAACAAGATCACCGTGGAAATATCTGGCGTATAGTCGAGATACTGGAAGACCGTAGCCATATCCAGCGAGTGGAACAGTGTGAGCGTCAGTTTTCGTTGGCCTAGGCGCTGTACTGTACATGTATTTGAACAAATGGTCCATTTGCGAGCGGGGAATACCACCGCCTCGGTCAGACATCTGCAAACATTTCTGGCATTTAATTCGAGTATCCGTGTAATTAGACCGCGTGTTCTTTATATATTAACGGGAAATTTCAAGTGCATAGAATGATCGCGAAAAATACTGGCACGTACAATACTTTCTCAACAAAGTACCTTTTTATCAGTTTCTTCGTTTCAGTTTCATTCATTGCAGTTATAGAAAAGTATAATCAAATGATATATCGAAATTATATATTGAGTAATTACATATACAATTGTGTGTCAGTATTATATGCATTTCTGCATTTTCAAATTTTCAATTGGAAAATTGGACAATAATAATAGTTTAGAATTAATAATATTAATCTATCTATCTACTTACAGTCTTACATAACACAAATCATAAAAAAAAAAAAAATTGATTCTCACCTTCAAATAATACGTAATTAACGCGATCTGTTAGCGAACATACTTCAATATCGAGTATTATGACGCATCGATATTCGATACGAATGTTGACGAAACATTCGTTTCAATTTCCACGCAGTACATGTTTATTTATAAAATCGATCGTACGTAATTTACACGTCGTTCTGCTAACTAAGACGAACTATTAACTAACTGTTTGCAGAATTGAGAAACCGATTTGTAAATCGTACCTTGACGCAGATATCTTCTTTGCCACGCGACACGATCACTTCTATCGCTGGATACTCCGCGTTCGAGCTATGGTGCTCCATGATAGCTCGCATGCTGTTCTTGAAAAGTTCGAACAGCATGTGGAACAAATGGCTCGGCACGTAAACTATTCTAATTTGGCTACATCGTTCAAGCTCTGCAAAGAAAGAAGAAACAGAATACGAGATTAGATACTTATTTCAAAAACGTGTAAAATTGTCGTTCAACAAAATTTATTTAAAGCTTAAAACTAAGAAAACGTGATTGATTTATTATGACTGGTACTATGTATAATAAATACGAATGCATTTTGAGATCAATACTAATTTTCAAAAAAACAGCTTTTTGTGAGAAATGTTAGTATCAAAAAAAAATGATCGACTAAATATTTTAATTGTAGCTTCACTTTACTTTAATGGTCAAAATCCATACAACGAATCATAACACGATTGATATTATTTTCAAGAAAGGTACAGAGCAAGTGAAAACTGGAAATTTCATTTGTAACGTTACTCTTTTTATCGTTATTTTTACACGCGAATGGAAAATAACAATTTGCCACATTGAAAGCTTCTCATTGTCATCTATTTCATTGTCCGTCTATTCTATATACGTGTATTATCTGTCATCGTGAAATTCAAAGGTTTCACCGTGGCAACTGTTTGCACCTACGCCTACTACAGAAAAATTGATCATCATATCGTGCTACTTACTAGCAATACTCTACAGTACAATCAACATTTTTCAAACTTGCCGTTATGTTGCTGGACTATCAGTTCCGGACTAGCCAGATAATATTCATCGCACAGCAATCTAGCTTTCTCATACGCGTCTTTCACGACGCTGATTATCTCGCAGGATGGATCTATGGATCCCACGTGTCTACTATGTCCGTTTAATTCGCTGCCGAAAAGCAGGGCTGAAAAACAGAAGAGACTCTTCTTTCCAACCACACTTCACAGCTAGGTAACACATTCAAGAGACTACAAATAAAAGAAACATGATAATTCTTTCTACTTTTATATTCTTTTCCTATGCTTGAAAGTCTACAATTTCTGTAATTATATTTTATTTGTAATTATACATTTTATTCTGTAATTATATATTATCT